TTAGTGTAAAAGCTACGTCGGAAAAGTGATTTATTCTCCGGAGCCGAGCATTTTAAATTAAATGTTGTTCTTTTAAAGCTTTTTTAATTTTTGAGTTGTTTGTAAATGAGTTCTAATTCGCGAGAAGTATAAGTTATTTCAAGTTTCTCTCCAGTGCGATATGGTTAAATGAAAAAATAGTGTCACCGGCGTAAGTTCAAATAGTGCACGTATATTCTGTTTTCCGAAAAATGATACCTGTTTTTTTTTTAAAGAAAACGCTGTGTGTTAGGAATTATACGGTTGCAAAGTTTACAAATCAGCGTTGACCTTGTTGACACTCCCTGGGAGTGCCAATAGCTTCTAGTTGACACTCCCAGGAGTGCCAATAGACCCACCCAAAAATATAATAGAACCATTTATACAGCATGTGTCTCTTCCAATAAATTGGAAAAAGAAAATCCTGATCCCGAACCCGTTCGTAAGCTTGACCTCGTAAATATTATGTATAAATATTTGTTCTCCTATCCCGATCCCGATCGGCTCTATATGTCAGTCATTTCGCATGAAAGAAGTATTCATAAAGATAGATCTGCATGTTCACATTCAAATATATATTAGCTCCGTTAGTTTATTGTCCAGTAGAATTATTTAAGGCACCCTGACTGTGCTTGTATATGCACATGTCCACAAGATCGCCATGACTGATAATCTCTAGAAAAGTATCAACAAATTATTTAATGCTCAAATATTTTTCAAGTAAAACGGATTTGATAGAATCAAAACATTACTTATTTTGCGTTTTTCTCAAGACTGTTTTTTTAGCTGCTGTCGCCTATTTTTACAGAACGCCGTCGGTTAAGCGTGGTTCGTCAAATACCCAGCAATTGACCGCCGTTCCCCAAACCGTCAATTAATCGCAGTTAACCGCCGGTATTTTTGATACCGCCAATTGACCACGCTATTTCGAAGAACCGATGGTTAACCGTTTCTTTTTCAATCACCGTTTTGCTTTGTGGTTACTATATGTATATAAGCACAACATGATTTTTTATCGAAAAACTTCAAAATTTTTCCATGACTTCTTGAAGTGTCAACAATGTAAATTTATATTGTGTAAATATCTTTCAGACTGCGTCTAAGAGCCCTGGCATGCAGATACGTACTGCTCAGTCGAAAACGATGGGATTGTGACTAACCAACAGTTTTACTACCATGGAACATATGAAAGTCCATCACTCAAGAGAAAAATGAAAAAATGCAAGAAGAAAGCTTTGCACTGATATCGCTTGCTCAGAGTTAATGTCAGTTTCGCTTTCGCCGCGAATTCAAAAAGCCTCGAAGGCCACATATAAGTACACTCTTATACATAAACACCGCCAGCTACCGCGAAGTCAAAAAACATAGCAAAAGTTGAGTTCGCGGCGAAATCAAATCTTCTACTCCCATTTACCCTTATCTCGGCTTGTCCAAACGTAATGCTGTTACCTTTCTGACACACTTTTTCTCAATTATCTAGGAAGTTTTGAGAGCTGGAAAGTTCGTTCAAACGCCGTTCAACGCAGCTCATCATACTCTATGTATGCTATAAAAACGCAGCGTTTTGGGTGAAGTCTGGAGCTTCGAGAAATGTTTTTCCATCGCGTAACGTTGTTACATAAAAAGACCCTAAATTCGGAATGCTCTTCGTAAATTCCTGTGAAAGTCGTTCTCCAAATGAAATGCCCCTAGAGCAAATTTTGTAGAGCGTCGAACGAGCTTTTCAACGGTAAAAAGAATTTTCTTCGAACTATTTTTACTCGCGTAAAAAAAGCAAAAGACAAACGTAATGCTGTTACACATTTTTTTGTCACACCATTTTAGGGCACTCAGCGTTCTTCAAAAAACTACATACTTATAGGTTGAGTACTTCTAGCCTTCCTGAAGATACTCCACTTGCAAACAAAGTTTCAAAAGCTGACGCAGGCTTTTAAACCGAGTCGTGAGTTCAAACTTGCCAGCGGCCCTTGTGCCTCCACTCAAAAATATTTCTCAAAACAAAACGAGCCATTTGTAAAGAATTGAATTCTCTATTTGACGGTATATTTTCAGAACTATTTCACGAAAATCTCTGGGTCAGAATATTAAAATTAAAGATTTCAGGAATTTTTGCGAACTCAGAAGCTTAGCACAAGTTGAGTTCGCGGCAAATCAAATCTTATACTTCTACTCTCATCTCATCCACCCTTATCTACTCATCTACTCTTATCTAGTCTCATCTACTCTCACCTATTGCGAACTCAGAAACACAGTAAAAGTTAAGTTCGCGGCGAATTCAAATCTTGTAACCTCAGCTACTCTCATCTATTGAGAAGTCAAGAAACATAGCAAAAGTTAACTTCACGGCGAAAGAACAGTTCCTACTCGCATCTACTTTAATTAACTGTAATGTTCCTGTGAACTCACAGCGAGGAGCACTTATTACTTGGTGTTACTTTACTAAGTAAGGTAACAAGAATTTGTTACTTGTTACTAGTAATTAGTAACAACAGAGGCTAATTTGTTACTTTGATACTAGTAACAAGTTAAGCAGTTGTTACCTATTGCTAGTAACAAAGTAACGAAGATTTGTTACTTAGTTACTTTCGGTAAAGTAACAAAAACCAAGTTATTTTTTGTTTGCCCAGAAGAAGTGTTTTGAAAAAGTTTTGAGGGTGAGGGTGAAATATTCGAATTTCGTTAGATGTCTTAGAAGTTACGACTCTTCCCTTAGCAGTGATGTATAGCTAATAAATATTTCAGGTACTTCTTTATCAGACGTTCCACCACCTTTTATCAAGTATTTCACCCTCACCTTCACAAAACCTTACTTAAGGGATCGAATGGCAGAAATATCTGCTAAAAAATTGTTCCTTGTCTTTACCAAAAGTAACAAATCTTTGTTACTTTGTTACTAGCAACAAGTAACAACTGCGTCACTTGTTACTAGTAAAGTAATGATAAACAGACACCCCTATAATATATGCTTGCCCACCAAAAAAACCTTCAAATTAACGGCGATTAACCGAGCATTTTGTGCCGGTTCGCGGATAATTGCGATTAACCGGCTGGTAAAGCGCGCATTCAACCGGATGGTTAGCCGAGGTTAATTGGCGGTTTGATAAACATGGGAAGCTTTGGGCTCGTGCAGAAATTCTCGGTAACTATACGTCGTAGAAAAGTAGTTGTTTTTGTTGATTTGTAGATAACACCTCTAGCTAGGATTTAAGAGAGCCCGACTTTTAAATTATGCCTGCATTTTTTTTTATAGTAATAAGGATTTCTAAAAAACCTCCGGGTTTTACAAGTTCTATTAAGCACGAAAAATGAGTAAATGAGAAATTCAAAATCGGCCTCTGTCAACAATTAGACATGCGTGTTTACTACAAAACGAAAAAAGCTCGAGCTCTCTGTCATTTACCTGGAATGAGAATTCTTGCACGTCGTAGACGCCTGCTTTTGGCCCTTGTTGTGCGTGCTCTCACGAACAATTGCAAGTGGCGCCATAAAAAATATTTCGTTACCACACTTTGACATGGTCGACATTCTCTCAAAGTCTGATCCAGGTCAGACCTACCTTGACTGCGACAAGTTTCTGGCCCGGGGCTGGAGAGACGGGCTTAAGAACTCCAAAATTGAGTTCAAAGTTTGATGTGCGTACGCTTCGAATCTTAACAGATCGTGTGAAACTTGAGTCTATGCCACATGAGTAATCAAGCCTTTCAATTATATTCTTTTATTTGCTGTTTATAAGGCTGTACAGATACTGGATTTTTAATAGATGTTAGAAATATTTAGCTTTAATGTGAAAGTGTTCTATAAACTACTTTTATTAAAATTACTCTTACAGTATAGATGTTCCGATCGGGTATAGTCTAAAGGCATATAGCCCATTCGAGATATAAATGCGATTTTTTTAAATACAGCGAAAAATGATGATGTTCGCAGAGAATTTTGATCATGCCACTCAAAATCTCATAACAAACTGGCTCAGATTTATTTTCCCTCTTGATCAAGTCCTTTCTCCGATCAGCCACCTCTTTTCAAACAATTCTTGAGAGTAACATTTTATATCCCGATCAAGATATTTTACTTTTTTAACTAGGTATTTCTAGCACTTTTTCAAATATCTTGACATTTTCTCTTACCCTGGGCATACATAAGATAGCTACATTCGGTGAAATATTCAAGTCAAGTTAGGCTTTTCCACAGCGATTCATCGTCCGTGCAGAGGCGTAAACAACATTGTTTAAAAAAACTATTTTCGAATGCGAAAATTTCGCTCCAAAGTTTAAAGTTTTAACAATACTGAAGCGTTTTCATCACTTAAGTTCGGGCCGACCATCTGTTACGTTCTATATCATCTTTGCATTACAAGTGCCACATTAACTAGTGTTTGACCGTTTTATATTACGAGCCTACTGTAAGGAAACTATATCCGGATTGAGATATACAAAAAAGCAGATATCCCGGCTATATAAAAAAACACATCTCGATTGGGCTATAGCATCCCGATCAGGATATACAGCTCGATCTGTATATAGATCCCGATTGGGATATGCTTCCTCACTAAACATATCCCCTTGTTCCTCACTGTCCGCTTAGTGAAATATTATGTTAATAAAGTTTCCAATAGAAATATAACAAAACTAGTTGTTAGTGGTCCTATGTAGACCAGAAACTTAAACGCTGGTCTTTTTTCAGTACAAGCACCGTTACCTACAATATGTTCGTCTTATGCATGGAATACTAGCGCAATAGTTATTAATACTGGTGGGAGTGGCTCTGGATTGACTGCAGTATCGTCTCCTAACGATCTTTTTATTGACAACAATCAAAATGTATACGTCGCCGATACATCCAATCAACGCATTATATTATGGTCCCCGACTGCATCTTCTGGGGTAGTAATAGCCGGAACAACTGGTAGTGCTGGAATCAGTTCCAGTCTACTAAACACTCCAACTAGTGTATTTGTGGATGCCAACAATAACACTTTCATTATGGATCGCAGTAATTATCGAGTTCAAAGATGGACACCAAATGCCGTCAGTGGAACAGTGGTCGCAGGAGGTTTGTAGACATTCTATCGCTCCATTGATCGCGTCTTGTCAATCTTAGTAACATATCTAAAGCAGACTTATCCGTATTCTTTTCCATTTGTTTAGAGAGTAACGGTCCGTCATTATTAGCATCATCTAAAAATACTATGCCGCTTTCTTTCTCTAAGCGCAAGCATTCTCCAACAAATCAAACAGCATCGCAAGCGACTCTAGTGCTACTACAGTTACAACAACTATTTTTGAAAATTGCAATGCGTAACAAGTATAGGATTATTCGAAGTTGAGTAAGGTGCCGGCAATTCAGAAAGATAGCATAATATTTGTTTCGTTCTTTTTGATATGGTTGGATAGAGCTCGTCGAGTTACCTAAGAAAAAGTCAATTTTAGATTTTTCAACATCATGTCTGGATAAAAGTTTTTAAAATACTGGTCTTTCGAAGCTCGGCAAACAACAGTGAAATTTTCAGAAAACAACAACAACATTTTCATACTTCACATTATTTCTAAATCTCAAAAATATTTTTTTCAGACTGCTCATCCAGAACTGTGTCCATAACAGCAACCTTCATGAAATCGAGCTTATAATTAAAAAAAATCGCCAGATCTAGAGTGGCACTATCGAGGTCGCACGATGCATTTTACAAACCTATCTAGTTTTTGGTTAGGAGATATGATCATTTTTTATCTTCATTCTAATCAACATGCCAGTGGGATAATATTTTTTTAAAAACTGATTTTGAAAACTTTTGTTTTGTATCAAAGAAAAAGAATTAAAAATCAGTGGCAAAAATAACAATACGCATTTGTATTTCGTAGTTTTCCCCATCAAGTTTAAATACCTTTTGCAAAATCCATGTCATCAAAATTAGCATTAAAAACTGAGTTGAATAATATGTTTCCGAATTTTTGGGCAAGTTTGACTTTTTTCGAACTACTACACTGAAATTTTTCTTTAAACAAATATGATAAATACAATACATCATGTTTCTTACATATATTTCTTATACAGGGCATCATGTTTTCTTCTAATACATAAAAATTTATTCAGCTCCGACTACACTACCCCTGTGCAGCGCGTGTTTTCATAATCAGGTTTTAGGTTTCGAACAAATCACAGTAGTATGACAAAGAATAAGCTTTCAAACTTTCAAACTTAACGTTGTTAAAATGTAATTTTGATCTATAATAATGATCTCTTTTGTGCATACTATTGCAAAACAAAACATCAACGTTATACAGACGAATTCAAAAACACGAAGGAAAAACGATGAATAGATTTTAACTGGAGTTAAAACGAAGTTGACTTGGAGTTCCATATAGCAAGAGTTCCTCAGCTCTGTTTCTGAAGCGGAATGACGACAAAAATCATTCCTCATTTCCAACCACGTATACATGCTCGCAAGTCTATGTCTTTTTTTCCTGCTTACACAGCCACTTATATCTCTTCTAGGCAATGGTATAGCTAACACTTTAACACAGTTTGGTGCCAGTTATTCAATTTACGTTGATGTCAACATGACTGTATACATATCCGATTATTCATATCATCGAGTGGTAAAATGGGTATCAGGTGCCCCCAATTGTACGGTAGTAGCAGGAGGGAATGGCGCCGGCAGTTCATTAACACAATTGTACAATCCAATCGGTATAACTGTCGATCCAACAACAGGTAACGTGTATGTTGCCGATTCCACCAATCATAGAATCCAACGATGGTCACCTGGCGCATCGCAAGGAGTGATGGTGGCCGGTCAAACTAGTGTTTCAGG